AGTAGATGTGTGACGAAAACTGGGATGTACGTGAGCGAAGACTTTGACCTCCTGCCTCCCAAGTTTAGGGATTATTATGAAGAGGTTTTGTGTGCCATGGACTGAATACAAACCAACCGGAGAACCGGAAATAGTTGAAAGCTGTCATCATAGAAGGGAGACAGTTGCGCGGCTTTTTCGACGTACTAGAATTATGAACCGAAAACAAAAAAATCCAACTAGAAAACATAAACACAAATAACAAAACTACCCTATTCATTTCTGTGTGCTTTACATATTTTACTCAGCCCGTTTTCCATAAACTGTTTTCACTCGTCCATATTATGATACTTTCCCTCAAAGGGAATGGTAAAGATTTGTAAAGGAAACTGTCGTTGAACGTTTAATAAGATGATATAATTGTAAAAAAATGTTTTTTTAAAAGTCGGGTGATTTCCGTTTCTTGTCAACTGGGATACGACAACTCACAGGATGGCTTGTAGGTTGTCGGTTGGGGGTAGGATAGGGGTGGGAATTTTGCTTTCGCCAGAAAGTTCGTAAAGGAAAAAACTATTCAGTAAAGAAAAGAGGTTGGCTGTCCCTATGTAATTCAAACCTGAGAGACGGCAATGAGTGTGTACCCCGAGCAAGGCGTTCGACTTTCATATCCCAGTATTGCGCAATTAACGTGTTTGCGTTAGTAGGTACGTCGTTACATGATGCTAGAGCGTTGCTTGATCCAAGTAAAAAGGAGTGAGTGGCTAAGTGAGGTGGGAAATGACAGGTAAAACAAGAGCGCGTCTGTGGTGTGAGATTATAGTTAGACTATCATAACAACAGCATTTGTCTCTATCCAGTTCTGTTCCGCTTTCTGACGGAGAATGCGACCAGTGGAAAGTATTCTGCTCGTTGGTACAAAATTGGTTCTGTTAGGCTTTTACTGGGAAGTATACCTAGTTCTCTTCTTGAATACTTCGTAAGTGAGAGATCTGGGAACGAGATCACCTAACAGACTCGCAATGCTCTACTTTTATTCTTTAACATACCGCAATTTATTTCTTACTCGCTAAATGAAAAGCTTATAATGTAAAATACTACTGAAAGCTTTTGAATTAAGACACTCGTAAGGATTCTAATGGTCCTTAGAAGGGCGTCTCCACTTCTTCCACGATGATCCTACTCACGGAGTTCCAGCCAGTGAAGGCGTCCGCTTGTTTGTATCCAGCACAGGAACCCACGTTTAGCCCTACTATTACATGGCCCTTTGGGACCCCTGAGCAGTAGCCCAGTGGTAGCCGCGCGAATAATGTTCCACGCGCCTCCATAGTAAACTGCGCGCTGTGTCGATTGGCATGGAGCATTCTACACCGTTAACAGTGAAGAACCAGCGATTGCAGGTTCGAGCGCTCATGACCCTCATATTTCCCTAGTAATAGACTTTGAGATGTGTTTTTTCCTATTTCTTTATAATTGAGCACTCCTGAAAAATCAGAGAGAGGAGATAGACACGTAAGTCGCATCATGTTCTCAAAAAAATTGTTTATTATGCATGTGATGATGAGTAATGTTTAATAGTTTCCCTCGCAATGTAAAGTTACCATCAGTTGAAAACCAGCTATCACGTGAAGATCGCAACATTTCAACAATCAAACCGCTAGTCTTCTTCACTCAATGATCATTTCAGAGTTTCTAAGAACGCACGAAGCCGGAATGCAAATGGCATACCAAAAAAACATACTTACAGATATTTTGCTGTCATCTAATTCGCTATTGTCGTTCTTCCATGCGCATTGTTTCCAGTTTGATGCCGCTGAACTGCCGGGCAGACCAGGTGCTCCAATCGCACCAGGCTCCCCTCGAGCTCCCTGCTGTCCTGGAGCGCCGTGCTGGCCTGGTATTCCTGGATTTCCTGAAGTCCCTGGGTTTCCTGGGGTGCCATGAGAACATCTGCAACATTGTGAATTATCCTAAAATGGGAAAATGTTTGAATTGGACACCATTTTGTAAATTCAAGGGTGAGAAACAAAAACACGCAATGAAAGTCATCACATTTTAAAATTTGAAGGGGAGCTTTTTCAATTAAGTTTTGGCTTTTTTTTTTTTAGAGTTGCCTGTGTGCTACCCTGACCACAGATCGAGTCTCAATTTGTTATTAGCCATGGCCGGGGTTATTGTGTCGTGCTTTGATCAGAACAAATTTCAGCATTGAGCGGCAAAAGTAATCTGCTATTACCTCCTTTTCAACCAATCAGATTTAAGATGAAAACCAGTCGCGACTGGGTCACCCGTGTTTTCCCGCGCTTCAAGTAGTTTGCCCGTAAGCGCCTTAAGTGCTCATTGGTTAATGATGATGTTAACGTCTACTCTGAGTGTATGTTGTGATTAGGTGAAGCGTAAACGTGATCTTGAGAGTTACCTTTGGATATTTTTGTGTCCCGCCCTGAAGATGTAGCAATAAATATTAGTGCAAATAAATGTGTAATTTCCGGTAGCAGACGATTTTTTTTGTATCTTGAAAAATGGAGCTCTCTGTTCCATTCCAAATCATCCTTGTTTCTTCCCTATTGGTTTGCATTGACCTCTTCGGTTTTTTGTTTTTCTTCTTCAATTTTACCAAACTTAATTATTTCATTTGTATCAAATAGGAGATAATTTTCGGCGCTACCGAAAATGACTCAGAATGCCATAATATAGCCCCCAGCTTTCTTTCTTTCTAAAAAAAATAGGAAAAAACTGCAGGCGACTGTCACCTCTTCCTCATATGAAAAGGCACATAATATGAGGTCAGCGTTGTCTATTTTTGTTTTAATTAAAGTACCTATGACACGATTTTTTTTTTGTATGTTCTGGTTGATAGTTGTATTTAAAAGTAGAAATAACCGTCCTTGGCGCCTAGCGAGTTCTCCATGTTCACTTTTTTGTGCATCGAAAGTACGATTTGGCGGCCAAAAAGCGTCCCCATAAGCGCGCGGCCAAAACGACCATGTTACATAGCTGTGCCGACGTGTCTTCGCAGTTTTCTACGTCAACTATGGTGGAGAAAGGAGAAATCTAGAAGAAAAAACGAACGTATTGCGTGGCCGGAGCGCCAAATGATGTTAGCTACAAGAATAATATTCGTATAACGGGTATTCCTATTTACCACTTTCCAAAGGGTGTAGCTGTATGGCCAAAATAGACGCGTCTCGATTGTCGACATCGAGGAGACTTTACTCTTCAATGTCGTCAGCCTTATGCTCCGTACCGGCTTCGAAGACGCCTGTTACGAACACATACCACTAGTCAATTCAGGGGAAGATAACCAAATGATTCAGCTAAAAAGAATGCTGATTAAGGCCCGTTCCCACACCGCACACGATTGTTCAAAACTTTTTTCGGCTGACATTTCGCAAGTGAAGAATTGTGAGCTTCTTATTGTTGGTTATTTCACGCGCGGTTTGAGATGTACTCACACTCCTCGTCTTTCCACATGACTGTATTTGCACTTTTCTCATTGTACGAAAGTCCTACCAATTGTAGTTTCCATCATATTATAATAAGAGAAATGCACCATTTGCAATGAAGTTCGAGCCCTTTCCTGAGCTTTCCTGGCTAATATCCCGTTGCGTGAACGGCAGTGCGAAACCTCCGGCGGATACAGGCATAAACACAAGCTCGAAAGGGCAGTGTATTCTCTTAATATAGGATTCCGAAAATCCATCCCACGAGTCATCAACTCCCCCCTGCCCTCAAGAAACTAAAAGTAGCAACAGTAGCAATTTCATTGTGATCACAGCACTACAACGAGATAAATAAAGAAACACAAATATAGTAGCGAATCCAAGTGACGTGTGAAAGTCGATGCAAATGAAATAATCATTTAAAATGCTGATGTCAGTTATCATCTTTGAGCAGAATGGGTCTTATGGCAATGCTGCACCTAAACTAAAGAATTTTTTCTCTATTAAAATCCCTATTTGAGATGAACTTGAATCAGATGACTATAAACTCACTCGTTTCCCGTTCGGTTTGGCCGACCCGACAACCGCGACGATAGCTTTTGCCTTTGCAATCTCTGAGAAAAGGAGCAACTTGCAGTGAAACTTCCCGATGACTTCTAGTTGAAAAATCATCGTGCCTCGTGATACAGATGATTCTTTCTTTAAAAGTTAGTTTTTGGTTTACCAAGGAAATTTCACAACAACGAAACTCTACAGCGCTGACCGAGGAACCTTCGCCTCACATAGTGCGAAGGAATAAAATGTTATGGCAAAAGAAACGAACACCGCTACCCATTCCTAACATAGATTTTGCCAAAGAAAACAAAACACATACGCAATAAACTAAATATTCAGTGACGGGAACTGAACTGAACACCGTAAGGGAGAACACCGTACACCGTAAGGGAGAAACTGTCTTTATCAGTCTTCGTCGAAATCTTCGTTTGATGCACGGGGTTCTCCTTCTTAGGGCTGAACCGTACTCACAACTTCCATTTCTTCTCTACTACTTGAGTACGATGTATAAAAACTCTCGGTAGAACTTGCTGAAGGTAGGTATACATCGCTATCGGACATTACTTCAAGAGTATTTCAACGCTGACTGATACAAATTTAAAAGGGATGTGGGAGATTTTGTAGGAGTCAACGAAGATTTTTCACATTTTTCTACGTCATTATCCGCCAATTCGTTACTAGTCCACGGGACACTTTAAAGACAAAATAAGAGCACTTTAGGGCCCGGAAAAACCGAGAGGGCACTCTTAAGACGGAATCAAAGGAAAAAAAAATTATTTACCAGTGGTCCCTGTGGGCCTGCAGCGACGGCTGAGAACAACTGGAATTGCACAATCATCAAGAAACTCAGACAAAGAAGTTAGGGTCTAGTCAATCTTACGGGAGGTTATTTTTGCTTGAAAAAGTAACAAGTAATTCGAATGAGCAGGTTTCTGCTTAAGTTAATGACTTCAAAACTAAGATCGATGAGCCTAATTAAAAAAAAGTGCAACACGTATCTGACTGGATAATTTATTTAATTTCTCTTCATGCTTCTGGTATTTGGCGGAAAATTGCCATGCTTTGTCGCTTCGACTTAGTTCCTCGTTGAATTTATCGATAGCTCTGTCACACTGGCATCCCTTAACACTTCCTGTTCTTGTTCTTCTGGTGCTGGGAATTTAACTCGCACAACTATGGCGGTAAGCAACAAAAATACCGCAAACATCAACCATACGAGTCTGCGCAGTATCAACTTGCGCTTCTCCTTTAAAGTTAGCTTGTTCCCATGGACACTAATATGTTGCTTAGATACGGTTGAGCAATCTTGTCGCAAAGGCCCATCCTCGAGAAGGACTCGCTCTTGGTCCGTGTTCATGGCCCTAAGCGGAATGTTATTGAGGCTAAGAAGAGACGACGAGCGGTAGATCCAGGACATGACAGGGTTTGTTGGATTTCTAAATTCTCGTAAGCTGTTCGTGTTTACTGAAAATAACGATGAGGTTCTGGAAAGCCAGGTAACGATGAGATCTGAGACAAAATGTAATTTGGAAAATATCAGCATGAAAAAAATAATTAATCTCTTAGCTTTGCGAACCCTTAATCTCTTTCATTCTGCTTCCACCTATGATCTAGAAGTCAATTCTTCCCATTGTTTACCTCACATCTCCTGTGATTTTAGCTCTGAGAATATGGTTTTCAATCAAACAATCAACTTAAGAAACACGGGAAATTGCCTCTTAGTAGAAAGCAAAGCGACAAAGAGTTGGGATATAACAGAAGAGAGCGAGGATGATTTTAATAACAGCCTTAAGTTTACACCTTACATTGAAATGCATATTCTCCACATTGTTCTCTGTACATTTCCTATGGTACCGATAGGGAGAACGTCTTTAACAATCAAGTGCTTGTCTTGTTGTTGGTGATCATTTCCTTTATTCTCAAAGCCTTAATATTAGATTCAGCGGGAATACCGCGAGTAGGTATTATATTTTAGTGACTCTTAGGGGTTAAAGGTCAAAGGATGGCGAAGAATGATACAGATTGCACCTGGCTCTAAAGGAACAAGCTTGCTCTCTTCGTATTCTTGTCCAGTTCCAGTGCTCCATTCGAGAGGTGACCTAAGTCGTTGTCGAGTCAACCTACGACGGGCCTGAGAAAGACAATACAAAATGCGCCTTTGAGCAACCTCGTTCCTAGGGCCACTCTTGATTTTCAAGATAAAAGACCTGGGAACGAAGTTAGCCTTTAGAATTGCATACAAGCACAAATGATAAATAATTTTTGTTTCTTCTCACCTTCCTAACATATAGTTCCCAATCTATCCTCCTGATTAAGGCAATGAATAAGAGACACTGGTGGAAAAGAAAATCATTATTATGATAAAAATTGTCAAATGGCGACAACATCTCTTGTGGTTTAGTTTATGTCAAATTGAACATTCCATTGATGTGGAATGGGACATTTAAAGATGACACGTTGGCAGCATTCTACACATATATAAATGAGAGCTTTTGGTGAATCTTTCTTTTCTACGCAGCTGTGAATACTGTTCATGGTTATTTTCATCTGAGCTGACTTTGTAATATGCCGAATTTACTGTGTAAGTTTACCTGCAGACTGAGTCCAGTCGTAAGACCCCACCAGAAACCTACAGGATCAAGAATAAAAAAATATTACGACAAAATTTGGAGAAAAAATTAGACTGTGGAACTATTATATACTCTTGATTGAGTAGGCCAGGTCAAACTTACCTTCAACTTCTTCTTCAAAGACGTAGAAGGCGAAACATGATCCCAGAGGCACGGAAACAAAAAAGTGGAAAAAGAAGTTGAGAAAAAGAGCGAGCTTTGCTCGACCAACACCTCGAATGACGCTGCAACATATGACCTAAAAAACAAAATCAAACAAAAGTCTTTCTAAGGCATACGATCCCAAATGTCACACTGACAAACTCAACTCGGTGATTAGTTTCGTGGCGGCGTTACATACGCAATTGATATCACTCGAATCCCGACTTATTACCTGACTGACCATAGAGCGGAACAACCATAGACTCGCAGACCTGTAGACTGAATGACTTATAGACAAACAGACAGACCACATGGACGGACAGACAGACGGACAGACAGACGGACAGACAGACGGACAGACAGACGGACAGACAGACAGACATACGGACAGACTGGTAGATAGATAGACGAAAAGACTAGCAGACAGACAAACAGACACAGACAGACGGCAAACAAACTGATGGACCAGCAGACCGACAGATCAGACACAAATCGGCAAACTATCTAACAGCCTGACCAATTGACCGATCGGCACAAAAAATTCTACAGAGAAATTAATTTGTAGAGTTTATCAAATTGACTCCAAATTCACTCAGTATGCAGAAATACCGCTTCGTTTCCCTTACTTGGAGGCTTTGGAAAAATGAAAATCCCGTCATCGCTGGAGTGACTTTTCTGACAAAACTTGCGATGGCCCTAAAAACCAAATGAAGAGCATATGCTTTGTTATAATCAAAGGGTTTTCTCAGAAAACTTAGCTCCCTGACCAGTTGAAGTCAACTTAGATATATTTTTATTTCCACGGAGAAATAATTCCAGTTTTCGGTCACAGAGTAACGATTCGACTCGACTACAATTGTATGGTAGACAAATCCATGCAGTAACTTAATATCAACAAACAAACCTGTCGTCTGTGAAGGCTTTCCCAAGATGTTCGTTTAGACCGTTAAGAAACGCCGACAGTACAATGGAAAAGCAACCTGGAAAGAGATGACGATGCAAAAATTCCCCAATACCCGGACTTTCGCTCTAACAAATTCACCTAGGAACCAACCTGAGGATGGTAATGTTACTGTAGCTGATGGAAATTTCCGTCTTACGTATTTGACTTATGCGGAAAATTAACAGAGCAAAAAAAAAAAAAAGTAAAATGCTTTGCTATTAAATTTATCACGTTCCAAGATCTCTTAAGCTTTTGAACTTTAAGAGTGACAAACATCTAATTTCTTTTAACAGTATCACCCTCAATTGACGCATTAAGGTCACAAGAAGAAAGAAAATGATCACTAACTAATGAAGCTCTTGATTAGTAAACAAATTCTCCTTGTCAGCTTCTTAGGAAATGTATAGAGAACAGTATGGAGAATATGCATAATAGGTTTAGGATGTAAAGGGCTAAGACCTCATCACATTCATTAGGAATGGGTACCAAGAGACCAAAGTACCTGACCCTATTTCAAGAGAAATGGACATGTTTGCATTCTTTTTGCACCAATTTCAATAAGATAATAATGGAAAGGGGGGTGGTAAGTTTGTGCAGTGAATTTATCTTACCAGACGCATCTGAGTGCATGGTAGGATGTGCGAATAGAATAGTTGTAACCTCTCAGACTAAGGTGGCAACTAAAATTCAAATATATACGTCAGCGGAATCCGTCAACGGGACGAAGAAATTATCGTATTAAAAATGCTAATCGACGTGCCTATCCATCTGATTTACCAGAAAAATTTAAAGATACTTACAAACTGCCACCAAAGAAATGTTTACAACATTTTTCGCTCTGGTGTGGTTGCCTCTTCGCAATTCATTCGTGACTCTAACAGTAACAGCATGAGAAAAACCTATAGAAATCTGAAATAAACGATTTCCCCCGTGTTAGAGAATCAAGTAAGACCAAAGGAGACATTGACATTAACACTAGAGACCTTCGAAAAGACCTATTACATGGAGAAACGCATTGTCATGGAAAGTCGCGATCTTTCCACTGGCTGAAATTTCGATTGTGGGTTGCTTTATCGAAGGATGCTGTTCTCAAGAGATATTTGTCTTTCCTTCTGGCGTTGAAATACCTGTTTTTTTAGACTGAAATAAAATCATTAAACGGTAGCGTTTTTTCCGCGATTATGGCTATATAACTCACTCACCATATATACAAAGCTTGAAAACTGCATCAATATACCATGGACCGCCAGTTGCTTTTGTCCAAGCGTTCCTGCAAGACACGAATAACGATTGGTACAATCTGAGGGCAATGGTAGTGGACTTCTGCATAAGGTCTATCTATTGCAAGAAACTTACCTATGGAATATAGATGAAATGAAAAAATTCTGAGATTTTCTGTTTAGGGCAACATTTATTGTATTACAAATTTTAGAAACTGGATATTGTTTTCTTAAGGATGAAACCATACGCTTCACTTTAGAAACTGGATATTGTTTTCTTAGGGATGAAACCATACACTTTGCTTACCAGTTCCGATTCAGTTCATTTTCGCCTTCGAGGTTAAATTAAGAAAAACTCGAGATATACATATTTTCTTAATCGAGTAGTGTTGCATTGTTACTAGAATCTCGTGACCTTTTGAACTGTATAATTTGACCGCTTCATGCTGTTTTGAGTACTATGCTGCATGAAACAATTTAATCTGTTAGCCCTTAAAACCGAATGACATTTAATTTCTCGTTAAAGCCTCACCCATGAGATATTGAGAACCAATCAGATTAAAAAATTTTTGATCTCGAAGAATAATGATTATTTCATACATACTGAGATTCACAGTGTGAAGGACTATCGTTCGTGTCTGTGATTAGACGAACGATGTATTTTCACAGTCGTTTGCTTCCAAACTTTGAATTGAGATGTGAAGAAATCACAGCATGTATGAAATAAAATACGTACTGACTGAGCATCAGTAAGATACTTAGTATGTACGGAGTGCTCAGTACTGAATGAAATACTCATTATCTATATATGAACTCAAATAAATACTGACTGATATAAAATACATACTGACTCCCTCGTTCACTGCGCTCACTCGTTCGTTTGTTTTTTTATGGTTTGCAACTTGTAAATGAAAAATCTTTCGTGCGCTCTTTCCATGGAATAATCTCTGTTTTTCCTCCTTTCGTCCAATGAGGATACATACTCACCCATTAGAAAAATTCCCACAACAAAGCTCCACCATTCAACACATAGCATAAGCGTGCCTGGTGCAGCCAACATGGTGAACTGATTCCAATGTTGCAGGCTTTCTATCGTCCAGCCTTGTAATCAATAGTTGGAGGTTATAAAGCACGTTGAAATTCAAACAGAATGAAAAAAGAAAAAAAAAACACTTTTCACCCACAGATACATAATATTTGGTCTTACATGTCGAAGGGCATGTTCTTATTCTGCAGGTCCTCCTCTTCCTCTTGTAATGACTTTGATAACAAGTTGTTCTTTGAAAATAGTGTTAAGGACTCGGACAATTTCATAACAAATGATATACTACTAAGACAGTCGCTTTCTTACCTTCTGAAGGCCAGGTTCTGTGGTAAAGCTTAGAGAAAAAGAAGTAGAGAAACGAGGAGAGGCCGAGGAACAGACAGTGTGTAAGGCATGACGCTAGGGCCACGCCCCTGGAAGGGAATGTAACACCAGCTATTTAGGAACTGCTGCATAAAGAATATGACCATCACTGAATTGAGAGCACAGCAATTTACACTATGAGAAGGGTGATTTAGACCATTATTCATATAAATTAAGGCTTACAGGAAACCAATCTGTAATCCATGAATTAATACAGCATTGATCCCAACATGCATAATGTTTGCGGTAGCAACGGTGTAAATGACAGGCTTGAAAACACCCTGAAAAAATTAACAAAAGGAAAAAACGCTGGTATTACAGGAAGGTGGCGCTCTCTAATGGAAAATTTTGTTTTAAAAAGTTTTGGTTCTAATCATTTTAGCTCACCTGTATTTGGAGATATCTTTGAATTAAAACAAACGCAAAATCTGCCTGAAAATGAGTAAACAAATTATTTTTCTAAAATCCTACATTCAAGTAATATATCTCATCACTTTTTACAAATGAATTCGCGGTGTTCGTTTTTATCCCATTTTCTTCCTCTCTATTCTCCTTTTTTCTCCTTGAGAAGAGATCTTTTAATGTCATTATGAAGCAGCCAAGAGCTTCAGGATTTGGTGCCGTTAAAAAATTAAAATAATTATCTTCATTACTAATTAATCTATGAGCGCGCGTTGGTTTTGACTTGTTAAAAAACAATCAAGGCGCTCTGAGCAGTTTTATTTAACGAGTGCGAATAGCATTGTCTCAAAATCTATTCCAAAAAGAGACACACTTTTTAGTAGTCCATAGTATGTGAACTCATAAACCATGGCCTGAGGGCCAATCAAAACTCAGGGATAGCAACATACTACAACTACCTTCCAATAATGATCATTGCCAACAATAAAGGCAGCGTTGAAGAAGATTGTGGATAATTAGAAAAGTGATACTCACTACCAGAGCTGGAAACCAAACGAAAATAAACAGTTGCGAGAGTCTGCAACAGAAGGATAGATAGTTCAGTATCGTTTAATTTGGCTTGTCTGTTCCCAATTTATCAGCAGAATAACGGCCGCGATGTATCGCTGAAAATACGGGTTAACTTGCCAATAATTAATCTGTAATTGCTTATAGAGCAATTTTGAAATGAGTGTCGAAAGCAATCCGGAGTTGCCTTTTTTTTCACTTCGCTCCGTGATTGGTTCAGGATATTCGCGCCACTTTCTCAGCCAATCAGATGTAAAACTAAAACAACATTTTCCCGCGCTTTAGGCAGTTTGGTTGTTTTCACTTTGGGTTCTCATTGGCTCCTGAAGATATTTTCCTATATTCATATTGGCCGAAAAGCCCTCAAACTGCGACTGGCTAGCTGTGCATGTATGCGTACAAGCACGCAAGTGTTTGAATTTACAACACTTAACAGACAAAAAGATGAGAATCAGCTTAAGAACCTGACTATTTCTCTTTTCTGTTTGATTATCAGCAGCAGCAGTTCTGCATTAGTCCAAATGGCCCAAACAAACAGCACAGAAATCCCTAGAAGCCAAACTCCTCTCTGAAACGTTATCCCCACAAGTCGATAGCTTCTGTTCCGAAAAGCCTTCGTGCATAAAACTTCTAAAGCAGTGATCAAGCCAGAGCCGAGAAATGTTCCAGTAACTCCAATAAACGAAGTGGATAAAACTGTCGCTGCTAGTTCTTGTTCGCCTAATCTCCCCGCAAAGAGAAGGCTGATGGTAAATAAGGTATTATGCAAGACATTTGTGAGAATTGGCAGCCATGATAGGCTTATCAACTGCTTAAGTTCTCTTCTGGTTTCCGAAGTTAAGATTTTGCTAAATAAATGGCTGGTGACGAAAACTTTGGAATGTTTATCTGGAGCCATTGATCTCCTTCTGATTGGAGACGCCGTGTTACAAACTGAGTGCAACAAGAGAGCTCAGGTATTTACCTGAGAAACAGAAGAGAGCCAACGTTAAAGTCGAAAGAACAAGAAAATATATAAAATGTTCATGAATAAATAAAAGCAGCTGTTCATTATGGAATAAAACTTTCTTCTTGTTTTGACTCGCTGAAAAATGTAACCATTCTTTCTCGAAAGCGTTGATGTAGTAATATTAGTGAACACTATTTAATTTAGACGTGAAACATGACAAACTTTTAGTAGGCTTGTGAACTTCATTGATTCAGTTCGTTGAGAAAATTAATTCGGTTAAACAGAGACATTATGCCGAAACACGGGAACTGTACACTTGGTTTACTGTAGGGTTTTGTCAGTGATCTCACTTTGGTTTAACTTATTCGGATACTGTCCCGCGTATTAATTGGCCAAGGAAATAATATGTTATTTGTTTATTTTGTCTTTGTTTTTGAAGCGAAAACAAGATTGTTAGTTGCTGAAAAAAATTCAGAGGCCGGCTCCCTCCTGTAACCAAAATTTATCCTAGTAATCAGTTGCAGCCAGCTCCTATTATTTCGGGAAGAAATGTCAAAAGTTTGTTTTGACGGACTAGCTAGCCTTATAATTGATGAAAACAGAAATCTTACCTTACTAAGGCGTATTCCAACCACGACAACGCAGAACGCGGTGATATGTCGACATTGATTGCAGGGTAGGGGCTAGACAAACTCGGCTTTGTTGTTGATAATTCAGGTATTTTCACTTAGAACACCTTTCAGGTATTTAGTCATTGGCTTTTGATAGACCAAAATGGTTTTGAGTAATATGAATAAATAATGAGCTTCTTTGATATAATTTTATTTGCATTTGCACCTCTTGTTTTCCCACAATACTTCTAAACTTTCATTTATCCCTTTACTTAAAAAAGCGTTTCCTCGTATAGAAAGCCATATAATCTTTTCTTCACCAAGAGATTCAAAGATCACAAGGAAAATAAAGAAAAAAAAAGTGCTTGTAATCTAACACCCAAGAAAAACTTCATGAAATTATCATGAACTCCAGCTGTTGGCTTAATTGTTGGCCTGTTGATTGTAGTAATGTACGTATTTATGTAAAGTTACACTTTTCGTCACTTATTTATTCATTTCGACAGGATGAGAGGGAGATTTTGCGAATGCGCATTTACGCCTGTAATCATTATAGTCAGCTGAACTTTTAGCCTAGTTTTGGGTTGTGTAATCAACATCACATGTCCATCAAGCACCTGCGTTGTCATGGCGGGTGAACGTTCTAAACATCGCTTGAAATTTGTCGGTTTTCGTTTGTTCTGAGATAAAAATCACGTCGTTTCTTTATCTTGATTTATAGAAGAAAAGATTTCATCCCGAAATTTTCTTCGCGAAAAACAATATTTGGGTCGAAATTTAAACGAAAGAAGATTGGAGAAGAGTAATACGATGGAGTCTCCCCAAAGCGGTAGTCAGGTTTCAATGTCGGAGACTGCTTCAGTTGCAGGGACAGTTAGCTCTGAGAGTTCCGTGGGTAGGACACCTAGTGTGTCTGCGACACCAGAGAGTATTCCCGCTTCTACACCAGCTCCTGTCCCTCAACCAAAATCCCAGCCGCCTAAACGACGTGGCAAAGGTAGATACCGTACTTACAAGTTTGTTTGAACTGAGCTACGTATGTTTAGAATAAGCTTTTGTAATTTTAATGTTTTTTCTTATCTCCACTTTCAAGAAGATTCATTTGCATTCTTCTTTAACATAAGTTCGTTGTCTTACACAGAAACCATTTGGTTTTATCAGGTTGATCTGATTTCAACGGTTGTCATGCATCAGATGACCACTAAATGGCAAAATTCTCATATTTACAGTCATAAGTTTAATCTTAATACTTGGGAGTACACAAGATTCATCAGGTCATTCATCCCATGTTAACGTTTTGAATTTCAAGAAGTACCTTGAAGTTCTGTGTAATCCACATCAGCATTTGGTGGTTACTTTGGATAATTTTGATGGGTGATGTCCAATTAACAACAAATCATTAGCCATTTAGACCCTAACATCAATATGCATATTCTCCATACTGTCTATGCATATGTTCTATACATTTTCTAAGTTGCCAGCAAGGAGAATTTGTATAACAATCCAGAGCTTCTTTGGTTGGTGATCATTTCCTTTATTCTCATAACCTGAATGTCTGATTCAGGAGTGACATTATAAGGAGAAATTAGATACTATTCCCACTAAGAGGTCAAAGGGTTATTTAGTGAGTTACAAGTTGAAGTCCCTTGATAAGGTACTGTTCACATGGTATGTGGTGGTGTTACTTATCATATAAAAGTGATCAAGATGAAATGATTACCTCACCTACTTTGGCTTCCCCATCTCCATGTAAACTTGCTTGAAATTTTTCTGCCACGCTTATATTGATATCAAGTCTTTATCATGGTATACATGGCTTATTATATCCATTTTGAGATCACTTGAGATCCTTGCCATCTGATTGGCTCTCACTCATGTGTTTTATTCACAAATTGCACCATTTTATGCTCTAAATGGCATCTTTTTGCCAGTCAATGAGACAGCTTTACTAAAAAACAACAACCAATCAAATTTTAAGGCTTTTTTTAAAGAAATCAATCAAATTGCAGGAAAATGAGAGACAACTTTGCAACTTTTTACAAACCACCTCAGTATAATGGATCAATAAAATACAAGTACAGACTTGTATTAAACCTTAACACCCTAACATCAATATGCACCTTCTCTATACATTTCCAAAGGTGCTGTAAAGTAGTAGTAGAGCCTTTATATGGGCCCAAGTGGCCCATGGGGCCGGTGCTTAACTCCAGTTTTCTTAACATGAAGCGGCTAGGAGTATTGCTACTCCCCCCTGGATGGGATACTAGTCCATCATAGGGTTACCCCCAGCACATTTGCTGGTACCCATTTGTACACCTGGGTGAAGAGAAGCACTGTGAGAATAAAGTGTCTTGCCTAAGAACACAACACAATAACCCCAGCCAGGGCTCAAATCCGGGCCACCTGATCCGGAGCTGAGCGCACTAACCATGAGGCCACTGCGCCTCCCTTCCAAAGGTGCTGACAAGGACAAATTGGTTAATAATAAAGAGCTTCTTTAGTTGGTGATCATTTCTTTTATTCTCATGACCCAAATGTTTCATTAAGGGATGATTTTCCAGGGAGAAATTAGATGCTAGTCACCCTCAGGGATTAAAGGGTTAAGAGACAGAATTTTGCAATTTCAAAATGGATGTAATAAAGTACTGATTGAGCTTTGAGTTAGTTGCACAATTTTTTAATCTGAAATCATGCTTGTGATTTTGAAATCACATGTATGATTTCAGACAAAATTACTCTCCACTCAGTTCAATTACCATTATTAACCATGACAGCAGACTTTTTCATTGTTTCTCTCCTGATATGTTAAAATATAATAGTCACTAATTCATTGTTTCATCTACCTTGCTCAGCTCCAGAGTTGCCTGTCTACGAAAGAAGAAATTGGCTCATTCATCTACATTACATCAGAAAGGAATTTGAAGCCTGCAAGGTGGGAAACATTCTTTCATGAGTTGTACATTTTGATTAACTTGAACTGAAAGAAAATTCATTTTTTGTTTCAAGTCTCATTGTGTTTTGTTGTAGGCTCTGATAAAAGAACAGCTTGCTGAAACTCAAGAAATGTGTGAATATGCTTTGTATGTGAAAGGTAATACTCATGTTTTTTTGACACAGATTAAATTATCTGAGTTAACTCCTGCCAACAAGCCATATATTTGGGAGTCTATTTTTCACTTGATTTGCTTTTAGCAAGATTGTACTTGTAACTGTCAAATGGTGTTTTGTATCACTAGTACACAGAGAGAAGTTTTAGAGTTAATTGCATAATCAGTGTGATTCTTTAACCTTTAACACCCTAACATAAGTATCCATACTCTCCATACTCTTCTCTATAAATTTCCTTTTGTACTGGCAAGGAGAATTTGTTTTAAAATCAGACATTCATGGGATGGAGATCATCTCTGTTATTCTCGTGATCTCAATGAATGATTCAGCAGCATTACTGCAAGGAGAAACTAGCTGCTGGTTTAAGCATTTTCTTGTATTTCTTATCACACTTAATCTGCTTTTTTCCTGTTTCAGTCAGTTTTTTAGAGCTTTCAGCTATTTTATGTTGTGATTGTGAGTCAGCTATATGATCATTTGCATGCTGAATTTGAGTTAACTTTAGCCTAACCAAGATATTAAACACTACATTGAGATAAAATTTTAATTTAACATCTTTCTTTAGGCATCTGATATCCATGTGGTAGGCTAAAGGTAGCTAAAATTTCAACATTGACTAGGTAACATGTAGTCTGATCGCCATAAAATAGGATTAAGTGATAAAAATCATGGGAACTTAGCATTGGACATTCTACAAGGTGCCTCTTTTTGTCCAGTGTTTCTAGGTCAAATTTAAATTTAATGTTAAGGTTGTGCGCTAAGTTAAAATGGAAATTTATGGGACAAATGATGTAAAGTTAAACAGGATTCCCTTTTTTCCCTTGGCTGATTCAAGGTTATGAATATGATACAGTGTAAAAAATGTTGCTGACTGTCAGAATCTCATTTACTGAACTTGATATTTTATAAAGAGGAAAGACATAATGGGAGAATCTTATGCCGTGGACGAATTTTTTGCCTCTTTTTCAGCATTAATTCTTCGTCAAGAGGGTCAAATCCAGGAATCATTGGATCTCTTCCAGAGGACTGTTCAAATCAATCCACAGAGTGCTGACAACCTCAAACAAGTTGCAAGATCTCTGTGAGAGTTTATTTTTTACTTGGCTGAAGAGCAGATCAGCTTCATTACTGCATGTGTTACCTTTGTAGAAAGATCTGCTTAGCATAGCTACTTTTACAGATGTCACCACTGTAGCAAACACACTGGCAAATTTCAAAACAGTTACATGAACAATACAATTTATTCATAACCAGTGGTTTCTGAAACATGATTAAATTAAATTACACTACAGCCAACTACCAACAACAATAATTAAAATCACAAAGTAAAACACCAAACAGCAAAAGACGATGCAAAACATACCTGACGGTTTGGATAGAAGGGGTACACGAGATGCAGCTAAGAAACGATCTTAACACAACAAACTGTGTAACATTACTGTTCTTTTTGTGTGAAAATTTCAATATGTGTCAACGGACATGAGGGGACTGAAGCCTAATTTGTAGATAAACCACTGGCCCTTAAATTTGTTGAAACAAAGATGTTTTGGTAATTTCAATTTTTTTTCAGTTTTCTTCTTGCTCGCCACAAGGCTGCTCTTGAAGTGTTCAATGAAGCTGCAAAACTTAGCACCAAGGACTGGGTAGGCTGAGAAACTTTTTCTTGTTACCCAATTTTTATAGAGAGATAAAAAATCTTGGCAAGAGAAAACTTAAAGTAATTTTTAACATTTCTCTTACATACAGGAAATTTATCATAACCAAGGTGAGTGCTTTAAGATTGAGCTTTGAGTCCGGCAAGTCCACTAGTAAACTCCTGTACAGGTATTTTTTTCATTAGAGCCACTATACTTTCTGTTCTGTCAACTAAATGACCAAAGATACCAACACAGGAGAAGAACAGTATTTACATTATAATACAGAGAAACTATGATGGCACTCAGCCTTACAAGTGTTCAAAACAAACTGAAAACTTACCAGTACTTCTTGACTGCCTTATTATTGACATACATTTTGGCAAATAACTGGTTAGTAATTACAATAATTGATTAGCATGGTTGTTTCTGCACAACTGAAACTTTTAACTATGTTATGAGAATTTAAATTATACATTTTATGTAACAAGCATTCCAATAACTATTGCATTATCTAAATTCAAACAGAGTGTGCCTGTACAACATTCAGTTACCAGTGCATGCATTTCACCAATCAATTTCATGTAATTAGAATGAGCTGAATGTTCAGGGAAACACTTTCCCACTTTCAGGTGTTTGCTATGTCTACATGAAAGATTTTGAAAAGGTTAGTTCAAATAAAATAGTATTTTATTGGCAAAATATTTACAATTAGAATTTGATTACGACTGAAATCATATCTACTCATAGAAAAAGCCAAAAAAACTAATTCTTTTTTTTTTTTAATTCAGTTCCCATGCATCATGTAGTTAACAGCTTATCACAATGTATATCATGGATATTGTGAATGTAATCCTAGGCAAAAGATTGTCTGACGCATGCCTTGCAGTATCACCGTCATGATGCATCTTTCATACAGCTAGGAAAAGTTTTACTCTTAGAGGGAGAAACAGAATCTGCCATTGATATTTTCAAGAAAGCAATAGAGTGAGTACTTCTTAACAAAGAGTAGCTCTTTTCTCACAAGATCTCATTAGTAATAGTACTGACTACCAAACATTCCTATGATTTGCTATCTCTTAGAATTTGGCATTGATCAAGTGATAATTCCCTAGTTTATATTTCCTTTTACTGTCATCGCTTGTATGCTTGACACTGCATTGATGTTGTATTGAAATTGTTCAGTAACATCCACAGTCTTGTCAATAGACCTCTGGTTTGCTCCCAGTGTTTTTATTTTTATTTTTAACATATTTGTGATGAATCATTTAACCCTATACTCTCCTAAGACTGTCTCAGGCTAACCCTACTTTCTCCTTACAGGATCACCCTCAAATTAAATCTAAGGGTCATGAGAATAAAGGAAGTGATCACCAATTTAAGAAGCTCTTGATTGCTAAACAAATTCTCCTTGCCAGCACCTCAGGAGTTCATAGAGCACAGTAGGGAGAATGTGTAAACTGATGTTGGGGTGTCAGCAGTTGAAATAGTTTGTTTCCTTGATGTGCTTGGCTGCACTGTAGTAAATTCTCTTGTTTATTCTTTTTCTCAGATTCTCACCTGAAAATCCAGATCTCATGACAACACTTGGACTGCTCTACCTAGAGGTAAAATGACCCCTTAACTCCCAAGATCTGATTGTTAATTCTCTCCTCTAGCTGCTACAAATTTCCTTGTAAATTAGTTACAAGATTTTGACGTTAGATCAAGATGAAAACTTTGACCCTACAAGTATGAGTATTCTTATTACTTGTTCGCTGGATAATATATGCTATAGGAAGAAGTTACAAGTTAATCACCACTGAGAGCTTAAGGGTTCAGCAAAAATTTCTTGTGTAAAATCAGTGGACCTTTTTTGAAGGTTAAATCAATTATCCTTCTTTTTCCTTGTTGCGTAAAGCGCATCCACATTTCTCTTCTATCACACTTCATCTTGCAGCTTGGTCAGACGTCAAAAGCTTTTGAGCATCTTGGCAATGCATTAACGTATGATCCAAGCAATGTAAAGGTGAGATTTTGGCACTCTCTTCCTTCCTTATGTACCATGTACGTAGAATTAATTTTTTTCTATTGGCACAATCCTTTAAATTAAATATACCACAAGAATCAGTGATAGCAAAATGTTATATGTGTGCGTTTTAATGGAGAAGGTAACATAGTAAGTTAGTATTATTAACGAGTTGATAACGTAAGTCGGCCTCCGTAGAGTTTCAAAGCTGACGTTTCGAGCGTTAGCCTTTCGTTAGAGCAAATTTCGCCCTTTCGTACTTTGTCCTTCGCTCCAATGAAAGGCTAATGCTCGAAAGTCATCTTTGAAACTCTTTACGGTGGTTTATATACGTTATCGACTCGCTGGTTATACTTAATTACCCTGTTACACTCTCCCACCGACGCAGCATACAGTTTCTTTAGAAACTAACCCCTTTATTCATTTGTAATGGACAAGTTTTAACTCATATGGTTTCTAATGCACACTTCTCCTGTAATTATTTAACTGTGCTTTCGTGTTTTATTGCCAGGCTATCTTGGCAGCTGGTTCTATGATTCAGTCACACGGTGACTATGATGTGGCACTGACCAAATACAGAATAGCAGCCGCAGCTACGCCTGAATCACCTCACTTGTGGAACAACATCGGCATGTGCTTCTTTGGAAAAAAGAAATATGTCGCAGTAAGTTGATTAACATGCGAATTTTATAGTTTAGGCGTCTAATCGACCAGAATTGGGTTTGAAGATTTTCAAAGCGTATTAAATATTTGTAAGAGTTTCCTGAACATATGATATATTCGTTTTTGTTTTGTTTTGTCTTTTTGGTTACGTTGATGGGAGCAAATTTTCAATATTGAGTACCTGAAGTAACATGGGTTTGCTTTGTTTGTTTGTTTTTTTTTTTTTGTTTTGCTCCGTGATTGGTCCTGAAAAGGCGAGCTTTCTTTCCAATCAATAAGATTTAAGTCTAAAACCGATGGCGACCTGGTTTATCGCGTTTTTCAGCGCTACAGGAAGTCTGCTTGTTTGCTCTCTGAATTCCAACTAGTTCATTGCGATAATTTCCCTTCTTCTGGCTGGTTGTTGTAAACAATTTGGTATTAGTTTTACGAAAGTCAATCGAAATGCGCTCAGTGTCATTCAATAGTAAGTAATAGGTTTGGAGAATTTGCATTTGAGCGATCATACTTCATTGTACTACGCAAATGGTCGCACACACTTGCCACACTCCTACCCAATCAGATGCAAGGCTAGTACCAGTCACAACTTGGTTGCTTGTCTTTTTCCCGCCCTTTTACCACCAATTCCCCCGGTTCCCTTGATGTTGACAGGTGTTCAAATTAAGTGCGGTGATTAATTGGTTTAGCTTGCGATATTCAATCGAAAAGCTCTCAAAGATGCGAAGAAATATTTAAAACTGCTACTTCCAGGTCTCTTACTCATTTTGGTTTCCTCAGGCCATCAGCTGTCTCAAAAGAGCTACATACATGGCACCGTTTGATTGGAAAATCCTTTATAACTTGGGAATCATTCACCTTACAATGCAACAGTATCCTTTACACTTCACTGAAAAGATCGCTAAACGAGGAAGTATTCGCTTACTCTCCTAAAGGGTTTGCTTAAATCATTGTGATCGACAGTTCTTTGCAGTTCCGATAGTAATTCTTTCATTTTAACTCTTTCACTCTCAAAATCTTATTAATAATTCTCCTTACTGTCTGCGATACAATTTTTATGATATTAGTTCAGAGAATGTGGTATGGGATGTTCTAATAATACCGTAATTGGCATTTTTATTTATTTACATCATTTGTTTGCTTTAGATTGTATGGATATTGTGAGGAGAAATTATGTCTTGGTCACTCATGGGAGTAAGCGGTAACTTTTCGCAGTTGCCGCGGGCTGGAATTTTGCGCGCGGATTCTTTTGCGTCGACGAAGTAATCACTAACGCAAGCGTACTAGAATTATTTCCTTAATGTCCATCAGATACGCGTCTGCCTTTCACTTCCTAAGTGCAGCAATTACCCTCAAACCGAAGCACGGTCACCTCTTTATGTTACTTGCAAGTGAGTGTCGCTGTTCTTATCACACGTGAGTTTCATAAAACTTTCTGTTCCATTTGTTTGATATGTTTATCAATGTTATCCGTCATATGTATCTTATTTCAGTTGCCCTGACACACCTGGAGGATCACGAGAATGCTAGACATGCATACGAACAGGCAGCAAACTTAGACAAGTGAGAATATCAATAGAATTATACTCAAATTTTACAAAAAAAATCAAAAGCAAGCGTGTTTCCTCCATTCGGCCCAGGTTACTGATCGAAATTAGAGGAAAAGGTTAAGTCTCTACTGGAGCCAAGGAGCCCACTCAGCCGTAGATTATCCCGGTTTCTTTAGCATGAATTGACAAGGAGTATCACTACCCCCCTCTGGATAGGATGACGAAAAAATTCGTAAACAGCTAGCTCGAGTAACAAAGAACTAATTCTACCAGTTGGTACAGCGGGATTAACTTGCGTATACGTTTATCGATGAAGAATGATAATTGGTTTTTTTTAATTTTGGTGACACTTGATGATAATCCTTTGACTGTTGAATTTTTTTTATTTTTATTTCAGCTCCGATCCTTCTATAAACTTGAACTTCTCGATTTTCCTGTATAATACAGGCGAGAAGAAAGACGCTGCGAAACAGTTTAACATTTACGAGAGAAAAATGGAATCCTACCGATTAGTCAAAGGTGTCGAGATTGACGCTGAGGTGAATTTGCCATCTCAAATCGTTTAACCCGTTTGCATTCTCCATACTGTTCTCTATACATTTTCCAAGGTGCTGCCAAGGAGAAATTGTTTAACAATCAAAAGCCACTATAAAAAGATGTTATTACAGTCGCAGCACGTATTAGCAATTCTGCCCTCTCTGTGGAAATAGACTGCTTTTTTTCTTCATAGCTTTCCTACTTTGTATTTACGTGATTTTCAATTTCTTCATGCTTGCTGTTACATTCTTTCCTTTATTGTAACCAACAGCTTGTGGACGTAGCCAATAAGCTCGGTCCAGCTTTACAAGTCGGAGAGAACCTAGTCTGGGAAGGAAGTGACACTGGCCAGTCATCACGGGCGGGTTCCAGAGATCCCTCAGCGCCAGAGTCAGTGGCGAGCAGTAGCTCGTCTTTTCAAGAGGATGGCTCTTTTGTGTGAACTTTTTAACGATACAACATGGTGTAATGCTCGTTGCAGAGTTCCCCAATATCCCATTTTGGTGCTTGCTGAACTGAAACTTTGTAGAATAAACTGTGTTAATTGCATGTGAATAATACTTTTTACAGCAGTTACTATGATCTACCGACTATGTGTTTTAGTAGATTTTGATCTTTAAGCGTGGGTATGTATTTTCCCGCAATTTCTGCGTTCAAACCCTGACGCCTTCAAAGATCTTTTTCAGGAGGGTACACTTGCTGCTTTTTCTGCCTTTTTCGTACCACTGCCTGCGGTCGTAATCCAGGGTAAGGCTTATGACGACACGAGATTTACACTCTGCAAGGGACTCTTTGTCCAAAATACACTTTTACGTTTGCTGAGACCGTTACAGTAGAACCGACCAACTTCAAGTAAAGTTCACTCTGCCTGAGAACAAAATTCATCCAATTTCAAATTCAAAGATTGCAGTATGTTCATAAAAAAGGATTTTAGTTAAATTAGTCGCTCTGTGGTAAGCTTTTCTCGTTGGTTGTATCTCGCTTTACATTAATTCAAAATGTACGGCACAGCCATCGTACCAACTATTAGCTTACTAGGTATTCTTTATATATGTTATTTATCTTGTAATGATATGTTAATAATGTGATAATATAATGCCATAATTAAGATCAGTATTCTTTTGGTATTGTAGCCTTGATCGTTGACGGGTGGATCAGTACTACCAGTACAGATTTGAAAAAACTTTCGAGAAAGGCGAGTCTGCCATGATATGCCATTTACAATTTATCGATAGTGTAATTTTCAACTGAGTGTCGTAAGTTATCCGAAATTTCTTTGGTTTTCTTCACCTCACTCTGACATTAGTCCTTGAAACTCGCGCCACTTTCTCAACCAATCAGATTCAGAACAAACCGGTCTTCCCGCGCTTTAAGGGAGTTAGCTTATTGAAAATTTGACTTCTCATTGGCTCCTTGTGGTGTTTACCGTTAATCTGATTGGCTGTTGTGATAAGTTTGGTTTAATTTCACGACACTTGATCAAAATGCGCTTTTAAGAAACGGTATCCTTGTCCAAGAGGCTTGAGTGTTGTTATTGTAACCTTGTATTTCTAAATAATGATCGCAACATGTTGAGGAGTCATTTTAAAAACATTTCTTTTCCTTGTTAATTTTTTCAAGAAAACATGCAAAACATTGTGGGAATATTGATCTATGTGCGAAGTGGTGTTTCAAAATTAGCGAAGCTGGTTCTATATCTTAATTTAAAGTTGGCATCACTTATATATATAGAAACATCTGGTGATTCGGGGGTAATCTAACTTCACGCAATCGGTAGATATTCTTTGTAACAATTCTAAGTCACTCTTGCTGGCTTACGCTCGAGATCCTTGCCTATAAGTTCAAATCTATGATATAGACCTTAAATACTTTGGGAGAGATACGAGACTCAGAGATTTAACGGAAAGGCTGTCCAGATTTTAACATTGGATCAAAAATTTAGAGTAATCCGTGATTCTTTAATGTTCCATTCGCCACTCTTAGTTTTATAAATCCAGTTATTCATGGCAATGTTGGTTCCGACCGACCTCTGCATGAACAGTCATGAACGAAATAATCGGATAAGATTAGATATACATGAATTGTTCAATTTTATTTACGCTTTATAACCTTCCAGACGTAGCGGCGAATTCTTCTGCATCGCACGTAATACACCAAAGGATTTATGCTCGAGTTGAGGAAGGTCAGAGTGCTCAGAAACGGCAGAACGACTTCAAGAAGCGCCAGGTTCTTGGTGATGTACAAGCCTAAAACTGCACTAGTTGTAGGAACATAGCAGAGGAAAACAACACCAACCATAATAAGAGTGGTTCTGGTGCTTTTAACATCTTGCTTTGTCGGATTGTTGGTATCACTGACCAGCGCTCGTATGAGCATCCAGTGTCGTCTTGCAATTCTTGTCATTTTGAAATAACAGAAAAAAGTTGTGAACACTAACAGCAAGGGAGGAATACAAGCGACTGCTCTTGAAGTTATTACAGGGGATAACGTATCAGCTTTGTGTGTGAGGAAGACGGGCACCGCGGCAAATGCTACCGAAAGCGACCAACAAGCAATTATGGCCTTCAAGGCTGTTTTGACCGTAACTAGGCTTTGATATCCTAAAGGATGCGTGATACAAACGTATCTATCTACAGTTATCAAACAGAGATTCAGACAAGACGAATACAACAAGAAGTGAGTCACGTACATTCCGAGCGCGTTCAGAAAGTTTTGTTGCAATAAGCAGTCAGCAAAGCCGAAAAGTCGACTTGCTAGTCTTACGGCGATCAACGGCTGAGCAAAAACTCCGATTAGTAAATCACAAACTGCTTGTGATGTGAGGAGAAGATTGCTGGGTACTTCACGAAGATGAGGGAACTTGAAGATGGCCAAGATCAATAAGGTGCTACCTCCAACAGAAATTACAGGCAAACAGCTGTCGAAGACCAAGTTTAAGATCGATAGAAGATAGAATCCTTTTGAAAGCTGCGAAGACGTATAGAATTCGTCTGTGATATTGAATGGACAGTCAGCATTAGCGGAATTCATGATTAAAATCTCAGAAGCAATTGTGTTCAGTTTAAATTCAGAATGAATTGAAATGAGACGAAAAAACATGTAAGCACATTTCCTTAAACTCAGCATGCCAGCTCCTCAACTGTTTTCCAACATTTTTCAGTCTTATTCTTCTTTTGACGATCGTACCAATAGGCCATTTCCCGGGGAGTTCCAAACAACCTTACGTTAAACATCAGGCAAAGTATACATAACTATTTTGATGAAAATCAGTTTTATTTATATGATAAATGACAGATCGTCTCAATATCAAAGACTCCTTAGCTTAGCCTCACTTAAAAACATGTTTTATGTCCAACACGCCGACAGGGCCGAGTCAATTATATTGACCACGCGTTTTAATAATACCGTGACATGTTTGCACTGTAATAAATAGAGTATAGAAAGGGCGGATGTACAGACTTAACACGGATAATTTGGTTATTTTTTAGCCACATGAAAATTATCAATTAAATGGAATAAAATAGAAAGTATCTTTGACGCCAATAAGAACGAGGACGATTCATAAAGGAGAAGATTGATATGTATCGCCGGCGACAATTAATCTAAAATCCTTACAATGCGCTTAGCGCGACGTATCCGTTCCCTTAAGGATGCTTCAAGGAGACAATGAAACAACTTCACAGCGTAGTTGGCAAAATAAATAACCACTTTGCTTCTCAGTATTGGATGTTATTGTCTGACCACAGACCAACGGAAACAAATGGAAGGAAAAGGGAGATAAATAACTTTTTTGATAGAAGGAAACTGTTTAACTTAGTGAATATGAATATATAAAATAAATAAATAAATAAATGGATAAATCAGCAGTGGAAAAAACTCAAATGAAAGAACAAGGGAACGAATGAACGAAGTAACGAACGAATGATTGGATGATTGATTGACAAGGCGAGAAAAAAAACCAGATCAAATGACACAGGATAGGTAAAGAAAGACTTTTCGCGTCGTTTGGCAGCACTTAATATATAATTACACAATTATGAATTTGACACGGGCTAGAACAGCATATCACTGAGACCACGCTGTTTTCACCTTCTTCCTTGTTCCTGTTTCCTCAGTTCTTCAGGTTACTCATAGACTACAAAGAAACCGGGAAAATGAGCGCAGACTGCGGAGAGCCTGGACGCTTGTGCCTTGGGTGGGGTGGGATAAGGGTGAGGGAAGGGGGTGGAAGAGAGGTGTATGAGGGGGAATTTTTCTGCGAAACTGTATTGGCTTTCCTCGCAATTCGTCCGCCAGCAAGCTGGATAACCTGAGATGAGCTCTCTTTGGCTTTGCTGGACGAGTATCTCGTTTCAACTTTTTTTCATGGGCTCCTGTTCACTGTCATTGACTATCATGTTTGTGTTCATAAGGTTCATGAAGGTTGTTGATGGTTCCCGAAATTAAATAACGCAATGAAATCATGCTGCTAACCGGTACATGGTATTTTGTACACAAATTGTGGCGTTAAGGTCAGCACTTATGGTGGCGTTTTAAAATTTGTGACAAAAATGGCTCTGTATCGGCCGAAAAGAGTAGTTAGTGGCACATATAGTTTCACAAAATTTGATGCAGGATTAATTTTCTGAAGAGTTGCTTGATTGCCACGAACGAGGAAGGACGAAGGATTGGATGCGAAGGAGAGTTGATGAGTGTAGGAATTGCGAACGGAAGATACGGAAGCCTACAAGGAATTGACGAGAATGAATAACAAGACATTCTACGAAATTTTGACGGCAGCTTTAGCCATTTCACCTCTAAACCGGTTTTTGGCAAAACCACTGACCGAAAAACTATCATCCGCTCGTTCAAACTGCAAAAACTGTCATCAACTATTAATCAGATATTAAGTCGAATTTGAACATGCCCAAACTGCATGATGGTTGATGATAGTCGATGATAGTTGATGACAGTGCTCGAACATTCGTGTTCAAACGCGCATCAACTATCATGATCACTGTACGGAGCTTCACGTTTTCACGGTTGATACAACACGAAGCTAAATAAAACTTTACAAAATAACCACCCAAGAATTATTTGTGTTTTAACCGTAGTTTGACAGCCGGAAGAGAAGCGCGGTAATATTTTATAATTTTATTTTGAACAGTCATGTTAGAAATGGCTTTATTGAATGATAGTTGATTTAAAACTAGATTTACTTGTAGTCATGGCGATTTTGTCAGTAGAGATCTCTAAAGCAAGCACGAGCTTCAAGTGCAATCAATACCTGCAATATGAAGAACGCGTGCATTTTTAAACAATTTACGATTAATTACAGACTATAGAACAAGATAATCCCGAAAAAAAATGGTGTTTTGACGAACGGGCTAATGAAATTTTAAATGCCTTTATATTGTCCTACAAAGAACAATTTCAAGAAAGCGTTGCTATTGTTCGCGCCATTCTGGTCTCTAATTGACCTCAAACAGTAGCATCACCTTATTTGGAAAAACATCAATAATGAGTTGTAACAATTCGACCAATCATATCTTCCGGATACGAGCGTCCTTTTCCCAAGCGCGTTCGGTTTGTTTTGTTGTGTTACTGCAGCGCTCGACTGCCTTTTGAAAGTTTTGACATGTACACAAGGACCAAATAATCACGAAACATCATTTGGGCTAACACTCAGCTGGGTGTCGCTTGATTCCCTCTCCAGAACTCAGCGATCGAAAGTCAGGTCTGATGAGTACCAAAACGAAAGATCTTGGAGAGAGTTTTCTGCTAGGTGGAGATCTTCTCGGGGAATTGGACGAGGACAGCGATAGCGACAGCTTGCTGGCGGACGAATTGCGAGGAATGTATCGGAACAGGTTGAAAGACATGGAGGAAATAGGGGAGAAAAGAGAAGAGGCTCACAGGGTAAGATCACTGCGATTTTAACGACATCGTCCCCGTAACGTGTAAACAATGAGATCGATATTCGATCTCTCGCGGCAAGATTTTAAAATGTTGATCGACCGAACACGTCAGTTTTAATTTATAAGTAATTTCGAGGAATAAGAAAAATCTCTTTATTTCAAAATGGGCAGCTGATTGGATTCTTAACGATACAATGGCGCTTAAACTAGCTTTTCATTCTGACTTTTTTTTTTAATTTTATCTTGCATCCGGTGAATGTTGTTAAGCCGTTAGCCATTTGCACACACACAAATGCTTTAGGCCAGCGGTTCGTTAGAACTTCATTCACGAGCGGAAACGTGCTTCTATTTTTCATTTTCTTGATCTATGATTAATTTTTTTTTTTGGACCATAAGATATTTATTCATTCCTAGAAATTCTTTAGATCTCTACAAGCTGTAAGGACTCCGAATGACTTAAAAGCGGCTGTTTTGTTTACTTAGTAAAGTGTAGCGTTTTGGTCACCGAGGCATGCATGTGAGCAGTGAGAATTTTTGACAGGAAAATTGATGGCTGCGGATGTAGGCATTACTTTGATACTTTTTTTGAAAGCTTAGCTCGTAACTTTTAATCTACTTTTATGCTATTACTGTTTTATAAATGCAAAGGGTTGTCTTTTTTTTTTTTATTTTCTATCCACGAAGTTAATTCTTTCCGACAAATCTACGAAATGCTTAGTCTGTTTACAGAGACCTAGACATACATGTATAATTGTCTGTGGGCTTGTTCCTAATTCTTGTTAAGATGTTAAGCTACAAGGTATTATTTACTGCATGTAGATTTGTAACTTTGGCGTTACGATTTGCAAGGGTGGTCCACTGGTCTGACAACACATTTTTGCTTTAAGTGTTCAGTTTAGGAATTATAGTTCTTAAACTTAACATCGACTTTTATCAGCTGAGTAATAATCTAGTGAAACTGCTAAAACAAATTAAAAGTAGCATCCAATTTTGGTTAAAAGCATCAAAAAATAATTATCCAGAAATGTTCACTTGCTAAAAAAGTAAATATTAGGACACTGTCAATTGGATTGGATATAAATTAACGTTGACAAATTTTGCAGCATCAACTCCAGTCCCTACAGTCCTATGTGAATGAACTCAGTGATCAAAATGAGATCCTGGTACAAACTGTTGAGGAACTAGAGAGAGAAGCCAATGACAGGGTGGCATTGATGGAAAATAAACTCCAAAGAACAACATTGTCTCTCAAGGTATATGCACATGTATTTCACACAGGGAGGTTTTGAGCATGGTGCTACATGTACCTGCATAACTTATGTGAAAACTAGTGATCTCTTTACTGTTCTCTGGATCTGGGTTTAAACCTTCATCAGGGAGCTATTTCATCAGATATTCCAGTAACTTTATGAAGCCTAAGCTATGTATTAAAATCTCACTAGTAAGAGATAGAAGCATGGGTCTTAGCTCATAAGCTAATATATTCTGTCTCATTACTTGATATTTTTCCTTGTTTGAATCGGGGAGCTGTTGTTGTCTTGATCTTGGATGTAATCACAGCTGAATAAAATAAGCGTTGGGAACTGGTATTGAGTACTGGGAATTTTAAGGAGCAGGCCTCAGCATCATTTTCTTTGCTCATACCTACACTGCTTTCTCTTGCCAAACAGTGTATTAAATGAATACCAGCTGATGTCTTAGCAGAACCTGAAAAAATGTAGAGAGGTAGCTCACACCAGAGTTGAACATCCCATCTGGGTGGAGAAGTTATACTCCTAGATTTTTCTTGTGCAGCTTCAAAAGCCAAAGAAAACATTTGGCACTTATGCTACAAAGTCTCCTGTTTAGAATTTACACACCAGGGATTATAGGTGTTGAATGTGATATTTCATACAAGTCTATATTTTTTAATTTAATTCATACAAACCAGAAACAAGAAGTTAATGTTAAGTTTTGTACCAATTTGATAAGGATTACACATCAAGGGCAAGTGAACTGGATGTCCAGGTCGAAAAGCTGAGCAAAGAGAAGAAAGATTATGTGGAGGAGATTAAGGTGAGCTTGCTGTGCTTGTAGCATGTAATATTTTTGTCGAAGACACTTAAAATCCAGTAGCAGACAAACTTTAGGGGCTCTTTGACTTGAAGTTTGGTGATAGGAATTTCTCACAGGTCTAGGAGGCTTAATTTTGTTTTAGATGTTCTGAAAAGTAGACACTGTGTTATTGAGAGAGTCGAAACAAGGGAGAAAGTGACATTATTACTTGCAAGTTTAATTCTGCATTATTTGAACCTTAATGTGTTAGTAAACAGAATGACTACCGATCCTTAATGCCTGGTTTTTGCAGGCAACAGAGTTGGAGTGTAGTAGGAGTTGTAACAGAGTTTTAAATACAGCTGTTGGAGCTCCTATAATTGGAATTTTATTTTTATTCTTTAAGTTTTTGTGAGCATTAACCTCATTTGGAAGAGTAAATTCACATTTATAATTAATCAGTGATATTGTTGCGCATTATTACCAGGCCTTGAAAGAGGAGCTAAACATAACAACTCAACAATTAGCTCACCTTGAGACACGACATGAAGACTTGGATTATGACATTGACAATCTGGTCAACCTGATTGGTACAGCACGAGCCACAGGGAAATGGGAGGTGACTGATTTGATTGGATTTTTGGGTTTTCATTTTTTTTACTATTTATTTTTTACGATCCATTTCTTTTACATTGGTAAAAGAGTTAGATTTGTAGTGTGCAGGACTCCCGATTAAAATGTTGGGGCCCTGGGTGCAAGTCTTTGCAGGGGTCATTGTCATGTGTTCCCGGTCTAAATTGTCCTTCCTGTATCTTTTTCCACCCAATATTATCAAATAGAAACTGGTAGACAGTCAGGGGGAAGGGGAACTGATGAATGCTTTGAGTGTGGGAATATACTCGCAATGACTTGGCTTCCCAACCAGGAGAGAGTAGCGGTACTCCTGGTTGCTTAACTGTCTGACCCCTTAGAGTGATTGGCATCTAATATCTCCTTACAGTATCAACCCTGAATCTATGGTCAGAAGAATAATACAAAATGATCACCAACTGAAGAAGCTGTTGATTGCTATACATAATCTCCTTGTCAAAATCTCAGTACATGTATGGAGAACAGTATAGAGAATAATTATGCACATTGATGTTGTGGTATGAAGTGGTGATGAGTGTAGCAGTTGATGTAAAAAAAAATTAAAATCATAATTCCAGACTGCTGTTGGTAACAGAAAAATTTAGTTGTAACTAGTTATGTGCTTGTCTAGCTGACATGATTTCTTTTTTCCTCTTCAGTTGGCAGGGTTAGACTTGAGGACTGTATCACTTGATTCCATTTTGGGTGCTCATGCAGCAGCTTCTAAGGAGTTGTGAGTATCGATTTTAACCATCTCAGTCTTTTCAGGATCAAATTATATGATTTTTTTTTTTATATTTTTCATTTTATTGAGAGAATTTTACTTTTGATCAGGACTGTCTCCCTTGAAAGCTCATTGGTTGCTAAATTTAGTAGGAAATGGATTTCTTGTGTTGATTGGCTAAATTAAGGGATGGGAGTTAGTACTAGTAGTGGCAAATTGAGGAGTTACTGGTTGTGTGTCCCAGGGGTTTCTATGAAAGCTGGTTACTGGTGGTCTACCAACCAGGTTCTTGTGGTTGGATTTTGTCTTAGGGTTCCCTTCTCTGGGCACAGCTGGGTGTCACACCATCAGTTACCCATTGTGTGTCCCAGGGGTTTCTACAAAAGCAGGTTATTGGTGGTCTACCAGGTATAAAACCTCTCACCACCATCTGTTTGGCCTGCAAGCTAGTTCTTGTACTGCTGGTGTCCAAAGTAATAAGGTATTGTAATGGTCTTACCTCAAGATTCCACCATCTTACCAATCAGAAACAATGTAAACCATCTGCCACTTATTCATGTGGGTATATCAATGCTTGAAGCCATCCCATCACATGTAATTACTTTGAGTTCTCATTGGCACCTTGTGATATTTTACTTTGCTCTGATTAGCAGTGCAGGTCAGATCAATTTTACAATATTTTTACAGGAGAGAAGGAGAAAAAAGACTCACAGAACACATCCAAGAGTTGAAGAAGCAGTTAGCTGCCAGAGATCAAATGATTCAAAGATTGCAGAAAGACCTGAAAGGAAAAGAACAGGTAAAATACTTCTTTTATGCTCAATAGAAAATATGTGGAGTTAAAATGACGTTCTTTTGATAATTTAAGGGGTCTGAATTGTATGCAGAAAAAAAATGGGGATCATTGAACTCGTTGTTTGAGTTACAGGTACCTGAAGCTATAGTTAAGGACGTTTCTAAGAATCTGTTAAGTATGGCTATGGTGACCTTCGATGCCATCCGACTAACAGAGACCTTTAGTTAGTGTCTCTGTAATGGACTTTATTTATATAAATTTATTACTTATAGTAGACACTGAGCCACCTCAAAGAATTTTGCTCCAAAATTGGCCGTGTACTCTGTTGTTTTACCCACAAATTAAATTACGATGGAGGTACCCACTTAAATCCAGATAACTAACATTTATTTCGTTCCTTATTCAGAGCAATCTTGAACTTGTGGACTCTAATGCTCATGGTTATGAAAAAGTCGGCTCTTTTGCCGGGGATGCGAAGTCGTTTGATACTTATGCGGAGGAATGCTCTGGCAGCATGACTCAGAAAGACGTGCTTATTAGGAAGCTGAAGAACGACCTGGAGCACTCGAGAAAACAGCAGCAAAGTACGACTAGAGAGTTAAGAGAGTGTGAGCTGTCTATAGCGCGCCTACAGGGACAGATTGGTAAACTACAGGATGAACAGGCTCTAAAACGTTCAGACGTTGCTGCTAAAGATCAGTCTTTGAGGGTATTGGAACAGCAGCAGGTTGGCAATAAAGTAAAGGTAGGTTTCATTAAATTGAAAAACATGGCCTGTTTCGGGCTCTCAGTCTAGGAAGACATGCCAAAGACTTGGCGAGCGACAAACTGCGGTTGTGGTTGTCAGCGAAACGGCTGCACTTTGATTTTTTTTTTTTATCTTTTGCTCATTTCCACTAACCGAGAGAGCCTGGCACTGGCTTTTGAGAACTTGTAACTTATTGGTTATTTAAAATAGTTCTTAGATGATGATTTTAGATATATGAAATTCATATATTTGCACTGCGGTGAAGAATGAAATTAAGAGATCCTCGCAGCTAAGAACACTATTGAAACGAGTAGTTGAAAA